GTCCTTCTTTACCATATAATATCTGGCCCCAACATGTTTATGCTAAATTCCAAACATTTTACAGTTCTCTCCTACCTTTGCCTGAAGCTGAGATATAAATTGCTAGTATGCATCACAGAAACTAATTACTCCACCCACTTTGAATTTGGATTTCTCATTCATATTAGTTCATTTTAATCAAGTAGATGTACTGACTGTATGGCAATCATCAGAACTGTAAGAAATCCCATCCACGTGTGATGTAGCAATGCATTTTCAATCTTGATTGTTCAAATCAGTAGTTGTTATAATAGTATAATTAAACAGTCTTAAAACTCAGCAACACACAGCATAAATCTCACATAAAAATCAATAACTATAGCTCATTAATAACAGCTGAAAATTTCCATTACTGGATTCCATTTTTTTTCTAATTAAATATTTATTGAGTTTTTACAATAAAACACATAACGTTTGTAGAACAATGACAACAACAACAACAAATTTTGAGGCAGAATAATAAATTACATAAATAATAAATAATTACATATGTGACGCAAAATAGTAGAACTCCCACTTGAAAGAAGCAAGCTACCACTTATGTGTGCACTGGATGAGTAGGTAAATGAAGGAAGATCAACAAGCAAATCACCAGCACAGAAGAGGTCCTGCTGATGCTAAATGCGTTTAGGATGTCTATTAGTGCCACCCTTTGTATATTTACTCAGAAGTAAGTGTTACTGAGATCCATGGGATTTATTCATTATGGTTAGCTTTTCACACCAAAACAAATGCCCTAAATAAGAAACAACTAGTTATTTCTAACACAGGTTAGTGTATTATGGTGTAGATATGTGAAGGGTGAGGAAAGAAAGAGGGTCAGTGTGGTGTAGTGGTTTGAGCATTGGACTAGGACTCTGGAGACCAGGGTTTGAATCTCCACTCAGCCACCCACTGACCTTGGGCAATTGTCATGGGGGACAATTGGAAGTATAAATGGTGATTAACCCATGATTAACCTGCAATTGCATGAATGGTTTTCACATTACGTTGAGACAAAATGTGATTAAAGTGTCATTATCCCATGAATAACCAGGCAAGAAACAGCAGGAACTCATTCATGGGATTTTCCCATGAGTGACCTTTTGTTGTTTATTGCTTGGTTATTCCCTGGTTATTCACGGGATAATAGCACTTTCATTAATGTCATTTTAAGCACGTTTTAATGTCAATTGCATGATTTTCATGAGTTTCCCCAGTGTGATAAAGTTCTCTCTCAGCCTCAGAAGAAGACAATGGCAAACCCCCTCTGAACAAAACTTGCCAAGAAAACTCCATTATAGGTTCACCTTTGGATTGCCATAAATCAGAAATGACTTGAAAGCACACAACAACAACAGGGAAAGTAAAAGGACCAGGAACCATAAAAATATATAATTTGGGGGGATGGTGTTTGGGAACTGGATATATGTATGTGAGCTCTGAAAGAAATATACTGTAAAGGGAATACATGTGCTGCATATTTGCAATACAATCAAAGCTTCCCAAGACTACCTCTCTGAAACAATCAACATGATGTCACCATCGCCCATGTCACAGGCAGAAGTTGATTGGAATGCCAGTGCAATACTGGGAATAGAATTGCACAGTCCATCTCACCTAAGAGGAATAGACCAATTTAAGGGAATAGGACAGGCCATGGAGCAGCACACATAACTCTGTCCATCAGCAAAGGGCAATGGGCAGGGAACTCGTGTGGACAGATAAGGGTATGAACTACTCCCTCTGCCGCATCCCCTGCCTCATGCAGTTGCTTTCCTGGGGCTAATGGTATGGAGGACCTTGAACGTAATTTTACAACATTCCAAGGGGCGATAAGACTGTAATATATGAATTTTGTTGTTTGTTGTTAACTGCTCTCGAGTCGATCTCAACTCATGGCAATCCTATGGATGAGACATCTCCAAGACCCTCTGTCATACACTGCTCAGCTTAATTTCTGCAACCCCATACCCATGACCTCCTTAATAGAGTCCATCCAGCTAGCATGTGGTCTTCCTCTCTCCCTACTTCCTTCCACCTTCTCCAGCATTATTGTCGTTTCCAAAGAGTCTCCCTCCTCATGATGTGTCCAAAGTACAACAGCCTCAGTTTGGTCATCTTGGCTTCCAGGGAGGTTTCCGGCTTGATCTGCTCTAGGACCCATTTGTTTGTCCTTTTGTCTGTCCATGGGATCCTCAGCACTTTTCTCCAGCACCACATCTCAAATGCATTGTTTTTCTTCCTATTATCTTTCTTAACTGTCCAGCTCTCACATCCATACATGGTAGTAGGGAATACAATGGCTTGTATGATTCTAACTTTTGTACTGAGTTGTATATCTTTGCATTTTAGAATATTTTCTAGTTCTTTCATGGCTGCCCTCCTCATTCTTACTCTTCTTCTGATTTCCTGACTTCAGTCTCCATTTCTACCAATGTTGGATCCCAGGTATGGGAATTCCTTTACTATTTTTATTTCTTCATTGTCTAGGTTGAACTTGTGAAGTTCCTCGGTGGTCATTATTTTTGTTTTCTTTATGTTCAGCATTAAGCCTGACTTTGCACTTCTTTGATCTTCCTCAGTAGGTGTTCAAGGTCTATGAGGTTTTCTGCTAGTACTATGGTGCCATCTGCATATCTCAGATTGTTGATATTTCTTCCTCTTATTTTCACTCCTCCTTCTTCTGTGTCCAAGCCTGCATTTTTTATATGTTCTGCATACAAGTTGAACAGATAGGGTGAAAGGATGCAGCCTTGTCTGACCCCTTTGCAAACTGGGAACCATTCTGTTTCTCCATGTTCTGTTCTGACAGTAGCCTCTTGTCCTAAGTACACATTCCTCATCAGGACTATGAAATGTGCTGGCACGTCCATGTTTTTAAGGGTGTTCCATAGCCTTTCATGGTCTATGCAGTCAAAGGCTTTTCTGTAGTCCATAAAGCACATGCTGATTTTCTTTTCAAATTTCTTGGTGCGCTCCATTAGCCATCATATGTTTGCAATGTGATCCCTAGTGCATCTTCCTTTCCTCAACCCCACTTGGATCTCTGGGAACTCTCTTTCCATGTATGGTTGGATTCTATGTTGCAGAATTTTGAGTATGATTTTGCTTCCATGGGAGGTCAGTGCTATGGTCCTATATTTGCTGCAACCTCTTGTGTCTCCCTTTTTGTGGATGGGGATGTAGATTGATCACTTCCAATCTGTTGGTCATTGTTTTGTTTTCCATATCAGTTGACATATGTTTGTTAGCACTAGAGTTGATTTTGTCAATGTGGATTGCAGCAATTCAATTGGAATATCATCTGTTCATGGTGATTTGTTTTTCACTATTTCTCTTATTGCAGTTTCCACCTCACTTTTTAGAATTTGGGGTTCATCTTCATATCGCTCTTCATTCCATGTGTCCTTCATTTTGTCATCTCTTTTGTATAATTCTTCTGTGTATTGCATCCAACGTCTTTTTATTCCTTGCTGGTCATGAATTATGTTATTTTTATTATCATATATCTTCCCAGTCCTTGGTTTGAATTTTCCTTTGATATCCCGGATCTTGTGAAATAGAGCTCTTGTTCATCCCTTTTTGTTGTTGTCTTCTATTTCTCTGCATTGGTCATTGCAGTAATTTTCTTTATCTTTTCTCACAAGCCATTGTACTATTGCATTCATAATCTTAGTTTGTTCCTATCTCCCTTTTGTTTTTCTTCTCTCTTTTCTTTATTATTTGTAATGTGTTTTTTTTCCTGTCATCCATGGTTATATGAATACAACTGTTAAAAAGAATATCCTGTCAAAGTAGAGTCTGGATATATGAAATCTTACTCAGAAGTCATGTACAAATATCATTTCACTTAGAGCTGATCTAAATGTCTTCACCCTCCTTTCTATATTATCGAATACTTCCATAGTGCAGGTATAATATTTGAAGGCTTCTTATTTTGTGTGTGCCACCACCATTCAACATACTACCTCAATGTCCTTAGTGATGTGTCGTGCAAACATAGAAATACTATGTATTATTCTGCTGCTGTATATAATGAATATCTCCCCCATGTGAAATGCCTCATGCTGCTCCCTATGCCAAACTTTATGTTGGTTTCCTGGTGTTTAAATTGGACCTTGAAAAAGACAGCGGCCTGAATTCTATTGCTAGTCCCACCTAAAGTAAACCTGCTGAATCAATGGGGCTTATCTATGTGCTGACAGTTCATTGAATGGGTCTACTCTAGTTGGACTAACCAACAGGATTCCAGCCAAACATTGTATATCTCTCTAGACTGAGATTCATAATTTTCTGCTTGGTTAGGAGTGGGGAATTTTGGGTTCTGCAAATGTTTTTGCCTACAACTCCCATCAGTTGCACACAGAATAGCTTGCAGTAACAAATTCTGAGAAATGTAATCTAAAATATCTAGAGGGCCAAAGGTTTCCTATCTTCCACCTTTAGCAATTTGGCAAAGCATATTGTTTGCCATATCCAAGTCCAATTATTATTTATTACAAGGTTAACAAGAGGACGGCATAGGAACTCAACAATATCATAATCATGTCCAATTGTTGTCACATTTTATGAGGTATGTGAACAAAGTAATAGATGTATTAACTGTATAAAGAAGCAGTGCCATCTGCAGAGAGTCATCATTGATAGATAGGTCATTAAATCTAGGACACAGGAGCCAAAACTGGAAGTCACTATGAAATATAGATATACTTTTCAATGGTATCTTCCCAGATTATCTGGAAATATTTAAAGTACCTGGAAAAGCATATTCAACTTTATAAGATATGTAATTAGCTGAACAGATATCTTAGTGAAGTATAGATTTTTTTAAAAAAAATCCATTTGAAATAAAGCTATCCATATTCCTGTTGTTGGCGTGTGCCTTCAAGTTGTTCTCAACTTATGACAACCCTAAAGTAAACTATCATGAGTTTTTCTCCAGCTGAGAATGGTCACCCAGGTCACCCAGTGGGTCTCCATGGTTAAGCAGGGAACTGAACCCTAGTCCTCGGGGTTACAGTCCAACACTCAAACCACTACACTACACTACACTGGCGCTAATAGATATTCCTACTAATTATGAATAGAAAGAATGGTCTGATTTTATTTTCACAAAAGTAAATGGGCCAAGGAGACACTCAGGTTTTTTTAATGCTTACCTAGGATTCATCTTTCATTTTTAAAAAATGTTTGGCCCTAATCATTGGGAGGAAGATTTTGGACTGTGACATAGATATTATCCAACCTTAGTTTTCACTACCAGATTCTCTGCTGGACTTGAAGTCACACTGTTGCTCCAGCAGAACAGAGCAGGGCCATATTAGGGGATCCCCCTGCCCAACATCTCCCCCTCCCTGCCACCATGGAGAAATAAATGATACCTGAATTCAGGATAACTTTTAAAATTCTTCTTTTTGGATGCAAGACTTCTCACAGTAATTGGAATCTTAGCACAAGAGAACACATCAGTTTGTTTTTGTTTCTGTTTCAGTACAGGTTCCATTTATCTTATCTCTTTTCCACAAAACTTTCCTCCTTAGGCAAATATGAAAAAGTTGATAAAATATGTAAATATTTCTGTAGGGTCTCCTGCTGTAGTTCTGCAAGATACTCTGGCTGTACGGAGCTTATCTAACCACTAAAATAAAATGTCTTACCTCTCCCGAATTCAATTTTAATTTGAGCAACATCCAGATACCATCACAGGGATTTTGCTGCCAAATCCGCTGCCCGGGTCTATCCCTGCTCCCAGGGGCGCTCAGCATGCCTCTTTTCAAAACCAGGAGTTTTGTGACTTTAAAAAATGGCCACTAGAGTGCTCCTGGAACCAGGGCTGAACCCATGCTGGACCCGGTGGTGGATTCAGTGGCAAAATCCCAGTGATAGTATCCAGATGCCACCTGAATTAAAATTGAATTCAGGAGAGGTAAGACGTTTTATTTAACGTTGCAATAAGCTCTAACATAGCCAAAGCTTTACACTTTTTAATGGTCTGACAATAGGTTGCTGTAAGAACTAAGTTGCTAGCCTGTTGCTCCTTGATGGAGAATATTTTGAGGAATATTCTGAATAGGAAACAGAAGGAAACAGATGGAAATAATTTAGTAATCCAAGGACCTATGGACAAATATGTCAGTTTTCAGGCAGATTTGGAAAGACAAACAAGGGTTTTTCTTTCAAGGTTTCAAGTCCAGTCTGCATCTTAGTAGAGAGCCATCATGGTGTTGTGATTCGAGTATTGGATTAGGATTCTGGACCAGGGTCTGAATCCCATCTCAGCCATGGAATATAATCCTGGAACCCACCCACCCATCACCTCGAGTGAATGGCACTATGGGAAAGGGGTCAGCTTTGGTGGCCTCCATGGCAGAGAGGCCAAGCGTAATGGTATCTCAGGCAAGGCACCAGATGAAGTGCAGGGGGAAGCAGAACTTTATTGCTCCCCCTCCCACAGGCTCTTCAGTTCACAATCTTGGCCTATCCTTCCACATCTAGTGTAGTATCAGCATAGCTACTCAATTCCCTTCCCCCCTCCCTTTTCCCGTCAAGTATTCTGCCAGCACCACACTATATCTAGGGACTTTGATTATTGGCTTTGGATATTGTTGTTAAATTGGTAGTGCAGGGAGAAAAAAGTTTCAGTGTACACCTTGGCACCCTTTTGGTGAAGGATGGGGCTCTGGAACTGACTCTTTGGATCCTATGACCTAGGGGGTTGGGAAGATTCATCCCTTGAGGCAGACCTGTGTTTTTGCTCTTACTTATAAATCCTGTGACTTGGGAGGAGTACCTGGAATCTGTCTTCCAGTAGATGGCCAGCCAGGGAGCAACCCAGTTATTGCATTGTTTTCAGGACTTGGGTGTTTCAACCAAAGGAAGCCTGAGGAGGACATTAAAAGGTTGCAAGAGGATGGGAGGATAACAGAGCAGATATGCAGTATCCAGAGGTTAGAAGCCCTCATGAATTAAGGTGCTATTTCTCCTTCACTTACCATCTAATTAGGGATAGATCTTGTGTGGCTCTCTAGATGTTGTTGACTTTGAACTCCCAGCACTACACAATGCTCACCCTAACCTAGATATAGAGTTGGCTTTTCATATTCATGGGGGTTCCATTCTGGACCCCCTCTCCTAATGGATAACAAAAAACATAGGATCTCAAGTCCCATTGTTCCCAATGGCGACGCACTGTATGTGCAACAGCACTGGCATGGACATGTGCATGCACCACCATTAGGATGAATGAGACAGGGCCATCCACAGATACTAAAATCTGCAGATGGCAAGCCTACAGATGGCAAGAGCTGACTGTATATTCACAGCACAAGATATCCAAGCTGGAAGATGTTCTCTTATATATATATTCATAGAACATATGCTAACACTTTGTATTGCCCAGAGGGACTAGTTCAGATCTGACTGTAAACTGTTATTCACTGTTGGTGTTATCTTTCTCAAACTACCAGCTATGTGTGTTAATCCTCACCTTTGTACCTTTCCAATTCTGTCTTTAGGCTTATTTTGTCATGCGATTACTCACATGTTTCCCATGCCTCTGTACCAGCAAATGTAATGGGAAGGGACTGCTGATGTGGGAATTAATCATATCATGCACCCCATCAGTCCACTTATTACTTCCACTACCAGGGCAGTACTTAAACAGCAAGTGCAATACTAACGTAGTGGTAGACTCAATCTACATTCACTGTTCTGTTGTCATTTATAAGCCATTGTCATTTTTAAAAAATTAGATCTTTTGAAGTATGTAAAATGGATTTTGTTTTATAACATTATCACTCAGAGTAAAATTTATATCATCAACTGTGATAAATAGAATGAGACATGAAAGATATTCTTCATCATTTCTAAATCATTTTTTTAAATATGAGTGTTCATACAATGTTAGTTAATTTATTCCCAAGGTAACTGTCAAATAGGATGCTTGCTCATTTGGACCTGTTGTTTTTGCTACACCCTAAAGTTTGACAAGTGGTTGAAAACAGATTAAGACACAGGTGGGGAAAGATGGATTTGTTTATTCTTTTACTTTATGCCATCACTAAAGAATTACAAAACATTTCCTAACAAGGCATCTAATTTCCTGTTCACTTATTTTGATACACCGTGTTGAATGTACTGAACTTTAAATTGCTTCATATTGAAAAGTACTTCATTCCCTGCCAGTAATAATGATATTTCATGTTGTGATGAAATTCTGTGATGAAAATGGATGGCTTGTTTTGGTGGAATTCCCTCAGTATTATACGATACTCCATAGTTGTCAGTTCCTGCTTGTTCCAGCCACTGGAGTTATTCCAAATAGGAAGGACTTCATAAATACCTCTGCATCCAAAACAATAGTTCCCCATTCCACACTGCAGTAACAAAATACTAAACACAGATATTACAATGATGTCTTAATGCACTGAAGTAGTCAGGTTGTGCACTGGGACCTATACATGCAAAACCATGCTCATACATAGCATTCCTTTTGCCTCTGTCTGCACTCATTCTTTACTCTTCTTTTTCATCAACTGATTGGTACTTTCAAAGCTAATAGTACTCATCTGTGGGGATCTGAGGACGGTAATCTGTGGTAATCATACAAACAGACTGTATTGTAATTTTTTTCATCTTCAAGTACTCACCAACTGAGAAAATATTCAGAAATAAAAAGATAGGCAGAAATTCAGCTACCATAAATGAACATTTAACAACACAGGATACTGGAGAATAAAATAACAGCAAACAAAGCAAAATGTCTGTCACTTTCTGTCTGATTAGTATTAAAAGATAAAGTTTATGAAATCATGAATAGCTTGACAAGGCAGTGTAAATGGTGTCCCCGGTTTTTATTAATTTGCCCCCACTTCAAGTCATATTTGCCAACTTTTATTTAATACTGACATGTCTTCACATTAACCTACTGGATTCAACAGTAATATTTGTACAGACACACATTTCCTTATTTTACATAGTCTTCACTGTTACTTGAGAAATTAATACCTAAAACTATGAATCATTAACCACTGCAAAAAGGAATTATTCGGTCATATTGAAACTCCTTATGTCCATTCCTGTAGGAGGTCTTAATCCCTCCAGCCCTTTCTGGGAGAGACCTAGGTTCTACTATAAGGTTTCCAAAGAAAGTGTAAGCTATTTTTTAAAAAAAACAAACAAACATGTTTTTGTTGTTATTATGTGCCTTCAAGTTGTTTGGACCTATGGCGACCCTAAGGTCATCTTCTTGGTGTTTTCTTGACAAGATTTGTTCAGTGGATGTTTGCTATTGCTTCCCTTGAGGCTGAGAGTGTGTGACTTGCCAAAGTCATCCAGTGGACTTCCAATAAACAATATATACTGTGAATGTAGTATGGGATAAATTTAATACTTTCTTCCACTTTGGTAGGAGTGTGTACTTTCCATTTTTGTTTTACTGGTGTTCCCTCACAAGATGAGAGTTTCCAAAAATTTTATCAATTTCATGCAAGAAAAATTACTGTCCTAATTCTTCATGTTGGTTTTCCAAGGTTCCCATCCATCATTCTGTATTCTCAGATAGCTCCTTTATACTCAATTTGTTATTAGATGAAAACAATAACATTCAGCATTTTAAAATTCCAGAGGAGGGGAAACTGAATAGAGAACAAACACAATGGACTATGAGAGGTACTTGCTCTGAAAGGGGATGTGCAGATGAAGGACAGTGTATGGACCTTATCAAACGCTGGCCACGAAGCGAAGAATAAGTGAAAAA